TCGCTCACTGAAAATCCATCCATTTCCTGCTCAAGTACGAGCTGGGCTAGGTAATCCGGACCTGTAGCGGTGTATTCTAGTGGCTCACCAGACACTGGTATTGCATGAAACCAAGTTATGCTGCAGAGGTCGCAGTACTGAGTATAGACACGCACGTAAAACGCGTACTGTACAGACCTCCCATGATATAAGGCGTAGTCTTGAACAGCATGAAGAGCATGTGAAGTAGTATCAAAAGTCATTCCGACCTGAATAGTGTTTTCCTCATCGCCGCTGTCCAATCCATCAGCGATGTCGTCGATGTCCTCCGTCATTTTGCGTCCCTCAGTCGTAATAAGTGGTTTTGGTACTTAAAAGCTATGACGTATTGCGCGCTGTATACCAAGCTGCGAAGTGAGATTAGTCAAAGAGTTCTCAAACTATCTCTATCTACGAGCTCCTGCGGCAGCAGTACCTGTCCTTCCTGCTGCTGCTTTAGTAGCCGCGTGCCACCGGCTACGCCTGATCGCCGGCGTGTGCCGCCCGCTCACTGTTGCCAGTCGCGTTGCCGATATGTCTTGGAGGCCCGCTCACTGTTGCCAGTCGCTTTGCCGATATGTCTTGGAGGCACGCGAGAGCGAAACACGAGCCATCGAGGCACGCGCCTCCTCTCGGTATTCGCTGAGTCTGTTCAGGCAATGCCATCTGATACTTGGTGTGCCATACTCCACAAGAGTGTACAATTTGGGACTACATACGCATGGCGAACATTAGTTATACAACGGGTTTTCTGGGGTTTAAGTCCGGGTTCACCTTGTTTCAGCGATTTCAATCATTTTGGACACACATTGTGACGTTATGTTCCCTAATTTCCTCACTTACTGGACGCGGGGTTTCACTTGGACACCTACCGGCGATACCGACCCCACTTTGCTCACGTTTGGCACACCTTTACTTTCTGTCACAACTTTAGTGTATCCACTCACATTTTGTCATTTTCCCGTTTATTACAGGTGAATTTTATCTTACAGCCTGTTTTTTACCCTGCCAAATTCAAATCAGGAGATAAAACAGGTTAAATTCGCGCGGCTATGCAAAAAAAAACCTGGCAGTTCTTATATAAATTGTTCTATCGATACTATTCTATCGGCACTCTTCACGCTAATGAAGCAGCTGCGAGAGCACTGTCAGTTGAAACAGGGACGGAATCGTTCTCTCCCGTCTTGACAGAGAACACAGGCGTTGGTACACGCTGGTGCATGGAAATCTGCTGCGCGTAGGCGAAGTACGTTTTCACGTGTGACTTGTACTCGGTGACAGAGCGCTGCAGTACAGCACAAGGCACAGCGTCCACCCAGGAGGGCGCTTGTCGTCCAAGCTGCTTTCGCTTGGCCACCTGTGTGTAGCGAGTAACGATCTGGTGAAGCGGGACGTCGAATGCCTCCCAAGTTACAGTGCTGCCTGTACGCACGAGTCCTGGGATCTCAAACAGCCGAGAAGCCTCGGCACCCATGAGGGCCTCGTCCGACTTGGCGCCCAGTACGAGGCGGTTGCCATGGTACGTCAAGTACAGCAGGATGTGGTAGAAACAGTAACGGACATCGCGATTCCAGTGCAGGAAGAGGCGTTTAACGTGCACAGCTAGCAAGTCCGTGAGCTGCATCTGCAGCGAGACTGAAAGACCCATAAAGTTCCTGAGTAGGAACAGCTCCGTTGCCTTCAGGATCTCAAAGTGCTCCGAGTCCAAGAGACACGAAAAGACGTAGCGAAGCGTCTCGATGTCGGCGCACGCATGTTCTTGTTGTGGCTGGTTGTGAGGATTGAGATTTCCAATGAGGAGAGTGCCATGATGTCATGCGCGCTGTCTCATTGTCAA